GAGAGAGAGAGAGATTTTACTCCTCGGCCTAAGGGCTATATCTCTACACTTCAGCCGCAAAATTATCCTGTGCTATAAATAAAATTCAAGTCATGACCGACCTGCTTGATTCTACCCACCGAATAACTTCTGGCAATTCTTTCTCCTTAATTCATCATTTGGATAAGCCTATTTCAGAATGTCACGCCAATGTCATGACAAATAGCTCGCGCAGAAAGCCCCAATCTCTGAGGAGCCGCTGTAAAATCAATACGAGAAACGTTAATTACCGAGGGTCTCGGTCTGGTACTACTCCAGGAAAGAATACTTTTAAGTATACCTTGATGTCCTTTTACCCGTATTGATCATAACAGGTCGTAACCTTGCTAAGTTTTCAAAGAAGTCGCCGGCCAGCAACCGTCGCGGTTACTACAAGTTACGACATAGGCTGTTTACTTGTGACGTCACAGTAGTCGCCATACTGGTTGGTTAGACGCCATTGTCACACATTAAGAACCTGGCTGAAGTTCGGGGGTAGTCTAAGGATCAGTTGTACGAGATTTGGCCACGCCTACCTTTCTATACGAATCCAATCAATTATGACTTAAATTTGAGTCAAACTGTCATTAAACTCACTAACATACGTATAGTGTCATTGCTCTGACAATGTACATAACTGCAAAGTTAGTAATGAGTTTCGTTGCTCATCAGTTTGCATAGTAGCCAAATACTACGTCATTTGGGGCATAATAAACTAATCCGTACTGCTTGAGATGAACTGGATTAATTGGAAGTGGGCTGAAACGATTTTAGTTATATAAGCCAATTGACTTCAATTAGCCAATGAGTCAAACTCATTTGTGAATCATCTAAACCTGCTTCGTTAGTAATGGAATTTAGCCCCAACCCCATTCTCTATCATTCAATATGCATTGATCAAAAAACGATAATATCATATTTAATTATTCATCTCAATTTCATTGTCTGAATCAGACTTGTTTGAAATAAAACCCTGTACAAAGAAACTTGCTTCATATGCTTAAAACGCAAAGCACACGACAAGCATTGGTATCAGTTTTTCTTCGAGAATCGGTGCCACAACTTTTTTAACTAGCAGGTTGGTTTACTGTAACGAGAGTAAAACGCAGCTAAAATTTAAAAAAATAGATTACTTATTGTTTTTATCATGTATGTTCATGAATAACCCATGAATGTAGACTATGTACGATGATAACAGAAAATTGAAACATCAAACATAACCACCCCAGCACGCATTCTTGCAAACTTGATGGGTTCCTCTGTATGCAGCCCGACTCTTGTCCTCGGCAATCATATCACAATGCTAATCCAGATATATTCGGTATGTGTGATATCTCCAGCCATTATAGTAAGATGATGCATGCCACTACTCCAAATACGCAGGGTATGACCAGGAGATATTGTCAACTCATTCCGCGGGCTACACAATTATCGGAGATGACCTCTGGCTTGTCTAGATAAGATTACATGACCTTGAGTCAGAGCGAGTAGCCGCATGTGAAGTACAGACACACCGTGCATCCAGGTATTGTTATTCATATTCCAACCATCTATCTCCCTAAATGTTAGAGCAGGTATTCTAGGCAATGTTCCATTGCTGTCATGTAAACTTGTTTTGTGCTCTTGGTTTAAATCATTCTAATCGAACGTTAACGCTTTAACATATATTGGAGTTAAGCACTTCTTTGGAGAACTTTAAAACAAATCAGGAATGTCATTCGATGTGTGTAACGATTGAGTTTAGACCAAGTTAGAACTTAGATCCTATGTCGTATTTAGAACCGTATTGGTCTGAAAATGTCATCTGACATGATAGCTAGGGATCTAACGAACTAGTCAAAATTGAAAGAATTATCGCGGGATCTTAAGTCATCGTTGACAGTTTTGTGTATGTACGTCAATGTCGGGATGTCTGAGGTCCACACCCAAACATCTGTGCTCCCGTTGTTGCAGTGACTGTGCAAACGTTTAACTTTTTTGCAAGAGTGACTTTCTACTGCAGCTGGCTTTTAGTCTAGTATTGTTAGCAGAGGGTTCCTGGACAAGACGTGTGAGTTGATACTGCTGGATAATTCATATTCATGTTTCCATAAACAATTACGCTGATGTTGATTCAACCTACCCATATATAGATTAGGTTTTCGCAGAGTGTATAAATCACTATTATTTGACTAGATAGATTGTATGTGTAGATTGTCATATATCTTAATAAGCCGTAATCAGTCGCACTTATACCAACATGAGTCCATTAAATATAAGTCCATAACAACATTTTCATGTCTTCTCTAATACAACAATTACGTACTATTACTGCAAGAGCCAGTCAAAATGTTTTATGATGCTGACAAAATATGGAAGATGAAAAAGTTTAATTGATTTTCTTTGTAACAAAGTGATTAGACTTGAACTCAATCTTATGGGTACGTATGTGATTCATGTTCTAATTAGGTGTATTCCTAAATCATTTACCTTAAATTACTGTGGGAGAAATCTATGTGTTAAATGTCTCAGTTCTGAGCTGTAAAATCGTTTCTTTCTTTATTCATTCATCGTTTTATTCATCTATATTTTTCATTTTGCTTACCAGTGGCTGGTACTTTAAAAGTCAAAGAGATCGAAGATTTTGAGTTATGGCACGAGCCTTGTGATTTGTGTGACCTTCTCATCCGTCTAATTACATGTGACATACAGTGTAGGCTGCTGAAAATTGGAGTTTACCACGAGGGAGTATTAGATATTGATGTGCGCCGGTGCTATGTATCATTTATTTCGGATTTAATAAAAATAGCCTGATGGCATTCTCGGTTGACTTTAAGATCCAATAATCATAGTTCAAACTATCTGTCATCGCCACTGTCCGAAAACATGCATCAGGATTTCCTGGTCCATATGGCACCACTGGTGTTACTTTTTTTTCAAAGTATTGATATGAAATGTAATGTCAACTCTTACACTTACCATACTTTGGCTTTCTCTAGAACGTTTTAAACACCTGGATAGAGGTGCATACCTCGAGGATTACTGATGCTACAATATGGCGATCTTAAGGTACAAGGCGGCCTAAGGGTGCATGCATGGGAATCAACTAAGCATAATGTATTTTTCTAGCCTCAGTTGCAGACCCCACGGTACATTTTTTTCTCAACAACGTGCAGTTTTGGTTTCTGTAGGTCACAGGTTAATAGGCTTTGATAATCCGTCAGATTTTCTGTCAGAATCCTGCATGTAGCTGTTGAGTTTGTCTGCAGGGAGGGCGGGGTTGCACTAGGATTGTCCAGACAATTAGCGCCAAGTTTTTTAATTAGCCACATGTGGATTCGTAACTCTTCCTGTCGTGTGGCACTTCCGATTTTAATGTCTTTCTTGCATGCACGCCGTTATGTTATGATCCGCATATTGAGCCGCAGCTGAAAGCTGAAAATTTATGACGCCATAAAACATCTTATCTATGGATTGGAAACAACCTCAGCCCATATACAGCCGCCATCGTGGCACGCGCGCCTGTATCGTCCATCAAAGCTCATGTTAGTGGGCTCGTCCCGCGAGTGAGCAGATGGTTTCCCTGTGGGTTTATCTGTTAAAATCGAGAGTAAAATATTTGACCTTCCTGGTTCAATCACTACCGTGCGTTTTCATAATTGGCTCCAGCGAAGTGTTACAAAAACAGATTTTACGGCCCTTGACACCATATGTTCCATATATTTCTTTAGAACAATATCCGCATTCCACTGATGTTGGTTGATTTTTCAACTCAATAATATCTAGTACACGTAGTAACACAGAATGTTATTTTGCCGTGCTTTATTCTGTATTTTATACGGTCATCTCATATTTTAGATCCGCAATGAACATGAGGAAAGAGAGCAGCTGGTATAACTTTGGATTTAATCATTATTGACCCTTGTAATTGTCATGTGTTCCGCCAGCTTTGGTCAAATGACACTGAAAATGTATCGTCTTTTGAACATAGATTCATGTATACTGGAAACTAACGAAACATGCCGCAACAAATGTCAGACATTGGAAATTCAAATCAGTTTTCCCCTTTGAAAGGATTGTGTATATGGTAGAAATGTACCTTTATAAGTACATGTATTACTATCGGCCAAAAAATTGTAACTGTGAATATCTGTATTCACGCTTTAACACTAATGTTAATATTATTGAAGGCTGCAATTTGCGAAAATATCGACCAACGCTACACCACTATGGGTCAATAGATAAGGATTTTTTCACAACTTCTCTGATGTTTTGACAATCTTTGACCTCATTCTACACATAGACTACTTAATTTTGTATGACACACTTGGAAAAAGACCGACGTCTTGCGTTTAGCACGTCTGTTAAGTAGGCATAGTCATGGTGAGATTAGCCTTTCATTTTACAACCTTCTGTTGCTAAAAACAACGATATTTAGCTCGCTACGTCACGCTTTGTTCTTTGACAAGTCAGATCTGAATGGAATTCCCCTGACGTCCTTCAACTTTCAGGTATCAGTTCCTGTGGACATCCATGTTTTTAGTAAGGAGATTTTACGTCATTTTAAATCCTATGTTAAAAGCTTTGCTACAACAAGTAGAACATTAAAGTCAGTGTATCTTCGTGTTTTCTACCCTCAGGGTTTCAACAATCCTCTTTTCTTACATTTACTTTACTCGACAAAGCACAGTGCACTATCCATCATCTTGGTTTGTTGTGTAAGGATAGGAGAAATATAAAGACCAGTGCCGCAGAAATGAAGGCGGCGTCATATACATGTAGCTGACGAATGACACCCTTACACCCCATCAAGCCAGCTAATGCTGGGCCTGAACATCTTTATCAAACAATTTATCTGCAGACAGCGTCTCCACGGTGGGTTTGATAGAAGCCGAAATGGAATGGCGAATCTAAGTGCTTTGGTAATGGAAAACATAATTAAACAATATGCGTGTAGCTGGTGGAAGATTATTGCACTCTGCCTTGCTGTTAGAGGGTCGCTGACAAAGCGGAAAATAGGAGGGTATATAGATGTAAACGCAATACTAATTATGCCGTTAATAAGCAGTATTGCTCTCTTAAAATGGCTATGCTCTGTTTACGTTGTATTTTGATGTAACATATGAATACATGTATGAATATATTTTTGAAACCATGTTCTCTTAGCATTTTTATGGAATATTTCTGCGCACTTCGCTCCCGAGAGAGCTACTTGTCAAATCTAATACAAACGCCAGGAAGCTAAATGAGTGTAGCATCCCAGACATAACAGCCGCAAAATTAATAGAAAATTGGGAAGCTGGAGTAATTTGTTGTACACTAAGTAAACCTCACCTGTACATACTCCCAACAGAGTAGCTCCGCTGCGATGCCACCTGCTTACGCTTCTTGCCATGACGGGAGATTCTTCTTCAGCTCGCGACTCCAAACTCTAGGAACAGTCTTGAAGACGTTCGGTATGGGCAAAGGGGCCCTTTCAAGACTCGAGACACCCCCGCATGTATAGATTGGATCCTGCGACATATAAAAAAACCAAAGACGTTGTTGAACTGGAGGAGACTGTGACGCAGCCCCACGTTCCTCGCCGCGCACACAAACTCAATTAACTGTGTAAATGGCAAATCTCATTCAATCAGCATAATTAAATAATAATGAAGGAGGCTTGGCGGCCGGACGAGTCGACTTTGTAAGAGCCAGACGCAAACTAGGTACGTATGCAACTAAGAGCAGAGAAGAAGACGCATGAAAGAAGTGGAAACTAGATATGCGAGAGGTAACGGAGTATGTAAGCACATGTTGACATATAGGCGTGACAGTCGTATTTTGAGCTGGAGTATCTTGTAGCACAGAATCACCTGACATGCGCCGTAAATGTCGAAGTGTCAGAGAGACGGTTTCTGTGGCAGAAAGATCGACCCATCCGGCTGCCGCTGGTGAAATTTGAATGAGACGTGAGCAGCAGAAATCCCCTCTTCGGAGACAAAGGTCGCTAGTAGGTCTTACCAAAACCTTTTGGGGGTATTTATGGCATACGCTTTGATAGTTCTGATGGCATTTCTGAGGAAAACCCAATACGACCACAAAAGTCCTCCTGATACCCATTTGTCCGCATCGACAGTTACATGTGTCAAGATATTTTCTCACTTTCAGCATTGACCAGTTACAGTGCGTAAATTGCTAATTTCACGGTCTGGCACGGTTTGTTAAGCACCTTAACTACTGTAAACATAATGTTTTGATTTAAGGATGCAATTCTGTGTGACAATATAAAAATGTGAAACCAAATATTTGCAAAGCCTAGCAGAAAGACGACTTTGCGTAGAAAGCCTCTGACAGCAGCTATTGGTAATAAGTAGTGCATACATACAGTGTGTTACGAGTCCCTTGTGGAATGGGCCATGGCAGACTATCTTTTAATACGATCAGTAGGCGGGTCCAAGCCGCTTATCAATGCTTAATCAACAGGATAACGTTATTGAATACATCCTGATTAATACAAAGAGCCTGGGGCCAGGGATAGGGGTCAGTTTGGAGAGGACAACGGGTGAGAAAATCAGCAGGTTGAATTACGTGAATGTGAGCTGGACAGCGGTGAATACTGCATACAGCTTTGGCCATCGTTGACTGGATCATATTCACATAAGGGGATGTCCTTACTTTCAAATTTTCTAACTTTTAATTAAGGAGAGATACAATGACAGTAGATTGATGGCCTGGTTTATTAGACGATAGAGACTCGGTATGTGGGAGGCTCTTTTGAAAAATTGCACAGAAGAAAAATGTTGTTGTACATGCACGGAATATATATATTTAACTAGAAAGGCCAATATTTGCTTTGGAGCAAATACAGCGATGGGTTCACCACATTTTACGACATGGCAGGGAAAGAATGGGAAACACAAGGGAAAACAATGATTTACATTGATATAACTATAATATAGAAGTAAAATACAACTAAAACAACAGTTGGATAGCTATTCCCTACTTTATTGGTTAGGATTTTTAATTGCATAATGCAAACTGTTGATTTTCAAAATAAAAAAAAGCGTCCATGCCCGGCATTCCAATGCTGGAGCAGGAAAGCTTGAAATACCTACCAAAACACTTGAATACAGACATACTGTCAGTATGGAAATGCTTCTGTGCAGGTGTTAATCAAGTTAAATCCCAACAGCCAATCAGCAAGAAGTATAGAGGAAAGCTGCATGCCTATTGGTTGATGCCCTGCATTCCATTGTGATGACTCATGTCCAAACGTGGTAAACAAGGCACCCTAACACAGTAATACATTTGCTATAACACAGCCAAAAAACTCAAATAAAACCATTCTAAAAGCCTGTATCACAATAATTTAAAAAACGCCTGGGGGTATTTGCCCACTGTACCTCCATACCAAATTTCAGGACCTTAGGCCCTAAAATGAAGAAGCTGAATCCATTTAAAGATATGGCAGGAGGAGGAGAAGGAGGAGGAGAAGGAGAAGAAACATCAGAAAAAGCAATATGGGTTCACCACCACTTCGTGGTGTGGTGAACCCATAAATATGTTGACATCAAATCCATCCCGAAGTTTGCATGGGGGATGTAATCATTACATAGTGATGGAAGAAACAAAAATGTATAACAGGAATAAAGATTGTGTATGGAGGGATCCCAAGATTAGGGACCAAGAGATTTTTCTAAAAAAAACAAAGGATCTAAAATGGCCTCTTTATTGATTTCCCATATAGACTGGTACTACAACACTGGAAGTTGTCTAAGTCGCGTGCTAGCCAAGAGATAGGGCTAATGGTATTCCTATAACAAACGGCCCCCTTCAATGCATGAGCTTTCATTGAGACAATGCCTTATGCAGAGTGATAGCATCGAGTTATTTAGACAAAGAGTCTTACCACATAAATGACCAGGGTGTAAAACCTAATGGACGCTCTGTCATGATTACTGATATGGCAAAGTTAGTCCAGTTAGAGTAGTAGATAGGGGAATGCCATAAAAAAATATCGCGGGAAATCTTGCTTTTGATGGTGCCTATATTCTTAGGAAATTGCCGTTTTTAAGAGCGCCGCAGCTGCGCACATACATTTTGTTCATACCACATGCTTTTGCCAAATTACTATGTCAGATTTTTGTGACGGTAAGTCTGCCAAAAGTGGTTTTCTTTGATTGAATGTCTGGAAACGCGCCAAAATCCAACTTATCTGTTGGTTTGGATAAGAAATCGATTCCACAAAGCGGACTTTTTTGATTCACGGTGAAGGTCACGGCTCAAGGTAAACTGTAAGATTCTTATCAGTTTCTTTCTTCTTTCAATCGAAAATAAATGAGCTACATGGTTTTTGATAGTCTTCTTGATAAGGAATTGTCACCGTTATATGGAACAACGTTTTTATAACAGGAATTATTCACTTACCGGTCCATCCAATTGCTATTTTATTCTGAGCGGACAGATGCTTCACGCATACAACATGTATCAACAGAAACAGACATGGATCCCCACGGAAAAAAGAGATTGGATACAGTACGGAGGTGATCTGCTTGGTTATGTTTTACTATACAATACAGAAATATAAAATAATTCAGATTGATAAAATAACAGTGTCGTGCCTTCAACACGCATGGTTATCTTTGTATATTGTCGTATGATGACATGGCTGGGGATATGAATCACTGAAAGTTACGTTCTTTTCGAAGGGTTGACACAAATTGCCACTACACTTTAACTAAAATTTTAAGACCTTTCAATGTGTGAAAAGAGGATATCTGGCAGGCCATACTTTGGGCTAGGGCATAGAATTTTGGCTCGCTAAAATTACATATAGACGTATATTCTAGATTGTACCCAAGTATAGGGTAGGGGTACAGTCTGTGCTGCTACACCGATAGAAGACCCAACAGCAACGTCAGGATGTCATTGTGGAGCCCAGCTAGACGGATGAGAGTGGAGAAATCATCAACTTAGGAAGCACCTCGTCAGTCATCTCACTACATTTCAAACGCACCTCTGTCGACGGGGCTCGTACCCTGTACATTAACAGCCGCCAGCACCCGGAGTGTCGCAGAGTGAAGTGAAAAGTAGCACTGAGTGATTTGACAGACTGCGTCTCCTGCTTTTATCGGTAACCTACTTCCAGTAATGGCTTCGCATGGACGGCCGGCAGGTTGACCTCCCCCGGGAGGGAGTTCCAGCTGCAACGTTGCTGTGTATAATGGAATATCTTTCAAAAGTAAAAGGCAAACCACCGGTATGCAAGTCCATATGGATGTTTAAAAAGATTAAGATTGACGGAACCCATTTACATGTCCAAGCTATCACTTTAAAGTTTGCAGACTCAAACCCGTGGTCTGCACTACTTGGGTGTGTTTGCAAATGACGAATTTGCAGGGGACTATGAATCTATGAATACAATATAATATTGATATGTCATATTCGTTTTGAGTTCTCATTCAGTCTGTTAAGATCTCGTGGTATCATTTTAAGATTATCTCCGACTCTGTTCTTTTCTTCGTCATCTTTGAATGTCCGGCCCTCTTATTTTCCGGAGTGTATTTCCTTTTTCATGATTTCATTTTCTAGGATGTTCCTTTGATCATAATTTACGCTTTTGCCTTGAACATTATTACGCCACGCCCCTTTTTTGTTATTACATAGACAGTTATTTGTCAAACGTACACTTGCCTCTAGCTGAGTTTACTCGGTGGACAAGTGTGTTTATTAGCAAAACCTTCTTTCATTAAAGTTTCACTACAGAAGGAGATGACGGATGAAACAGTGGCAACATTTTCTCAGGTCATATACAGGAGGCGCCGAATTGAAATTCATCGTGACACTATGTAGTCAGATCATTACGTCAAATTTTCTTAAGATTTTAGGACTTCATAATGTTACCTTTTGAAATAGATTAAACCGCTGAATAATAGAGAAGGGTTGTCACTCGGTATTCAGTCATCTTTTTAAAAATGGTTTTATTTATTACCTTCGCCAAGAAGGTTATGTTTTCAGTAGCGTTTGTCTGTTTGTGAACAGCATAACTCAAGAAGCTTAATATGCATTGTCATGAAACTTGGTAGGTGGGTAGGTCTTCATGAGAGCTAGAAATGATTAGATTTTGGGCCCCCTGGCGGCTTTCCTAGGTACTGCAGCAAAACTTCCGGTTTTGATTTCTCATGATCTAGACATGCTAGGGTCATGAATTTTTGGTGGTAGATAGCTCTTGGTGTAGGGAAGAAGTGACATGAGTTTGGGCTCCCTAGCGCCTTGTTGTGGAACTGCAGGATTATTTGTTGAAAAATTTTCGAAGGATGATAACTCAAGAACAAGTTGAGGGATTGTCGGGATTTTTGGTATGTAGGTAGCTGAAGTGGTGCTTGACATAATGAGATGATAATTATGCAAATCAGGAGCTTATTTGCATAATTAATGAGGAAATTCCATAAATCTGCTTTGTTCGATAATAGGACTATGAAACACTTGTGACATGCAATTGAGAACTAAAAAAATACGAGGATATAGATTATGTAAATGAGGACCTAATTTGCATAATTAGGAAAATGTTTATAATTTCATACTTGTAACCTCTGGGAATTTCATACTTGCCACATTTTTAAAGTGAAGGCGAACATCAATAAACATAATTTATTCAAATCATGACCTCATTTGCATAATTTATGAGGAAGTGCTATAATAGCCTTTTTGTTAAGATACGGCTGTCAGTGGGTGGGGAATATGATCAACTGATATAATACATGCAAATGATGCACTAATTTGCAAAATCAACGATTAAAATAAGTTATTGTATAATCGTCAACCGCAAGGGTTAACATCATTTGGCGAAGGTATGAGATCGTGGAACTCTTGTTCTTTACTGCATTTCTAAATCAACAATAAGGTAGGAATAGAAGAACATGCTAGAAGAAATGATAAAATATTTCCTAAACAAATATACAAGAAAAAAGAAACTGAATGAAAAAGCCACACAATTGCAAGTTTAACTGGTATTAAAAAATAAAAATAGAAACAGAAACTAAATATATAATAAATAAAAGAACAAATGAGAACAAATGAAGTACTTCTAGAGTAAACAGTAAAAAAAATTACTCAGTATTCATGAAAGGTGTGTTAAGACCGATCAGATAGAACTTAATGCGATTTACAGCCGGCAAGAGCAGAAGAAAGCCAGAGGACTTACTTCTGAATCCATCTGTAGACAAGCTAATATTGCACCTGCACGTTATCCTGGGGCAATCGTGACGAAGGGAATAACCAGACATCCGCTGACTTCTACTCGGAAATCCTCTTCAAAGTAATTCGATTAAAAGTAGGATGTGGTCATCGCAGGAGTGGTCGTTATGCCCCCGTCACATTGCGCGTAAATCGATCGGTCGACTAGTCGGCGAGCTCTAAACGAC